GTTAGGCCAGCATTCATTGCGCATTCCTAATTGCCCAGAAGGCAGCTTAGGATGAACCACATAGCTGTGGGTATGGAATCTCATATAGGTCAGACCAGGTAAGGATGAGAGTTTCTTTCCCAAAAGGACATTAGTGATCTGGATGGGTTTTTCCCTGCAATTGACAATGGTTTCATGGTCATCATTAGACTTCCAGATTAAAATTCCAGACTTTTATTGAATTCAAATTCCACCATGGCAGGATTTGAACCCAGGTCCCCAGAACATTATCTGTGTCTCCAGTCTAGAAATAAGTCCACTAAGTTATCACCTCTCTTTATTCTTCCTCTACACAATTGCTCATTGTCATTTTCAACTATCATCATAAACCTTGGTGACACAATGGTCACTGTCTACACATTCCTCCATGTACACGTGTTCTGCCTTGACCCATCTCATTCCCAAGAACCAGGTCAACAGCACCTCATTTCTTGTTGGAGTGGACACATAATGCAGTAGGAAATTCTCCTGAACACAATCTAAGAATGTTTGCCCCTTGCTGTTGTTTACACCATCATTATTTCAGTCTATATTCAGGTAACTAAAATCCCCCACTGTAACTGCACTAAGATGTGTGCACCTAACTATACTTTCCGTGTAGATTTGATCCCCTACATCCTTTCCACTAATGGATGGTCTATGGATTACATTGAGTAATGTAATTGCATCCTTTATGTTCCTTTGTGGCAGCCAAATGGATTCTGTATTTGGACTCTCCACGAGATCCTCTCTCCATCACTCTTGTGCTCTCCTTACCCAAAAGTACTACCCCTCCTTCTTTTTATCCCTATCTATCTTTTTGAACACCTTGTAATCAGGATTCTTTGTCACCTAGTTCAGCTCTTCTTTGATCCAGGTTTCTGTTATATCCATAATATTATAATCCCACATGGAATTCTTTGCTGGTAACTCAATTTCATTAACTGTAATTTGTATGTTCACATACACACAGCCCTGGTTATATAAAACAATTTATGGAAAATTAATTTATAGCTCTTTAAATCTATTTTTTAGGGAGATTCCCTCAATATTCTTCTTTGGTTTCCACACCCCTGCTGAACTAGTTTAAACCCTCCCCAACAGTGCTAGGCCCCACAAGGAACTCAGTTCCAGCTCTGTTGAGCACAACCCATCTGGCTTATGCTGGTCACACCTCCCCCAGAGCCAGTTCTAATGTCACAGGAATCGAAAGCCCTCTTTTACAATCCCTGCTGATGGTACAACAGGATAAATTAGGTTCCAGAATCAAATATGGAATGATAGATCATATTTTGCTGTCATTTAAATTTAACATGGCAGTCTTTCATTGAAACATAAGCACACAAGGCTGCAGTTTGTTTTAAAAATAAAATTGAACTTCACTTCACAAATGAAATAGAAGAAAATAAACCAAGTTATTGACATATAACACTTTGAAAGATTTCAAAGTCCTAGCTACTCCCCAACACCATCAGCTAGTTAAAAATCCATTAAAGAAATCTTCCCTTTCAAATTTGTATTTTTGACTAAACTGCTACTTCTCAGTTCCAGTCCTGAGAGCTGTGAGGTTTGTGTCCTTTGATCACTCACACGGGGAGATTAGATTTCTTAATAACCTGTGGAGTTCTAAGTAAACACTCCTAGTCTGGAAATTTCACCAGCTACGCTCTTCCACCAAGGTAACTTATTTCCTTCACTGCTCTGGACAATCTCCTTTTTTTAAGGAGACCAGACATTTTAAAAATTCTTTCATGGGATGCAGACATCACTGGCTAGGTCAGCATTTATTGCCCAATCCTAATTGCCCATACAGCCGATGCTCTGACCCTAATCTCCTTCAAACTGTCCGAAACCTTTTGAACCAAATTTTGAAAATCCTTGCTCACCCTGGACTCTACTAAGCTAACGGCTTGATGTTTTCTCTCTCTGATCATAAAGCCCCAGAATATAACAAATCTCAATTAGCACTCCAGCAGGCACATACTGGTTTAAAATTACAGTTCTGGAAAGATTAATTTAGTTCATTTTTAAGTTCTATCACAAAAATATATCAACATCCATATGATACTAGTTTAAAATCCAAACTGTTTAAAAACATATATACGCAAGTCACACAGCTTTCATCACACATTCCTCCTGTACTATCTTTTTAGCCATGCATTAATTTGTCTTATTTCCCTATTTCTGCACTAACTTGCAAGTAGCACTGTTGGTAACCCAGAGATTACTACTCTAAGGTTCTGTTTGCTAATTTTCTAACCTAAGCTCCCTAAATTCTGACTGCAGGACAATTTCCCTCTCCATAACTTTGTCACTGGTTCAAACATGGACCATGACCTCTAACAATTCACTCTCCCAAAGAAGAATGTTCTGCAGCTGTTCTGTAACCTCCATGACTTTTGCAGCAGGAAGGCAACGTACATTCTAAACTTGTGTTGATGGCCAAAGAAATGCCTACCTGCTCCTTTAACTAAAGAATTCTCCATCACTTCTGCACTACTATTCACCTTCCTCCCCTCTTGTACCACCTTTCAGGAACCATCGCCTTTACCAATATCCAGAATGGAATACCAGTTAGTGCACAGGATCACTGTGGGAAGTCCTGCACTGCTAGCCTGTTTCTTCTGGACTGCCTGGCAGACATCCATTCCCTATCTGCTTGCTTACCCATAACTTATGGTATGACCACTTCTCTTCACATACTACCCATATAGTTCACTGCCTCACATATGTAACTCAGTGATTCCAGCTGCCACTCAAGTTCCGAAACTTGTTGCTCCTGTGGAGCTGCTGACACTTCCTGCACAGGGATACGTATAGCACAGACAAAGTGTTCACAATTCTCAAATGCCACAGGATGGGCATTCTGATTGGTCAACATGCCCTGCTTACTTCTAACTTAGTTTAACTTTACTTATGTTAACCTTTTGTATTGTTTACTATAAACTACAGGTTATTAAGAAATAGATACTCCTCACCCTTAACACAAATCAGCTCCTTCTCAAGTGTCTGACTTGCCAGTATAGCTCTGCAAATATGGGGGTGACGTGTGAAAGGCTCTTCACATAAATTAACTGAGCTTTGGATAAATTTAAGTTGATAAATTGTGAAAGGTGGAGGACTATCCAAGAATAGAAAACTCTGGAGGCAACAAAGACATGGAAGACAATTTCAGGAGCCAATAGCTGAAACAGGAGCACAGACAGGCAATGTAAAGGAGGCAGGACCAGGCAGTTTTGGTGAAGAACAGGATACGAGGATGGAAGCTCAGCACAGGGTCATATAAAAGTCTTCCAAAGTGTTTCCTTCTCCATACTATTTTGCTATGCTACAAATTTCCTTCATTTTCCATTTCAGATATCTCCCTAACATCCTCTTCCACAGTATTGCCAAAGCATAAAGTAGTGCTGCTGTTCTGCTGTAACTTCTAACTCACAGCGGGTAACACCACTGTAGATCCAAATGGAAATATGTGCATGAAAAATCCTACAGAAAAGATTGAATTTGATTTAAAGACGACAACACAGCACAAGATTATGCTTTGCAAGATCAAAAAATAGCTGTAGCATCTGTGCAATACAAATAAAGTGTGCCAAAAAAAACATAGTCCTGTTTATTTTAACGCAATCAAATACAGGCAGTTCTGCTATAATGCATTTTGTTAACGTGAGTTGGCTGTTATGCGACTGATGAATAGTGGATGCTGTTTTGATAACGCGAGCTTTCTGCTGCACAGATATAGCGATTTCCCTATAATGCAATTTTCTATGGTGGCTTTCTATTGTGCAAGGTCACACAAGAACGCAACTATCACGTTATAGGAGAACAACCTGTAAACCTGAAAAGCAATGCAACAAATAAAAAATAGATTTAAAAAGTTACAAATTAATTTTCCATAAATTATTTTAAATCTGTTAAAATCATGCTTTTCTTCAAGTTTGTAATTTGAGTTTCGAAACCCGAAAACTAAAATTTCAATTTTTAATCATAGCCTCAAATGTTCTGTCACACGTTAGGAGGCTAACTTTTTTGTGTGATTAATCATTGCCTCAGGGCCATCTTCAACAACGCCAGATTTATTTGTATACTTCAATAACTGTTCTTAAATGTAAAATAAAAGAACTACAGGTTGTTCTCCTACAACGTGATAGTTGCGTTTTTGTGTGACCTCATGCTATAGAAAACCGCCACAGAAAATTGGGTTATAGGGAAATCGCTACGCCTGAACAGCAGAAAGTTCATGGTATCCAAACAGCGTCCACTATTCATCAATTACATTACAGCCAATTCGCATTAACAAAAGACACCTTAAAGCAAAACTACCTGTGTTATAAATACAAGCAATGTAATTATACCAGACAGAAATTGATAAAATTATTGGACATGTTAATTAAAGACAAGGCAAGGTGGTTTCAAATGAAGATTGAAATAATCAAGGACACTGAAAATATCAGTACTAAAGTAAGTGGAAATCAACATTTATACCACTTAATTGGTGGTTTCCCCTCACATTGATGTTTTTGTGAATTGTCCTGTTCAATGATAAGCAAAAAGCTTTAACAAAATGTGATTCTTTTTTTTCAGCAATACTCATGTTCAATACTACAAATCAAGTGACATTGATTCTATCGGGTACAGAGATAATAAAGGGAGCACATAACTTTAAGTTAACAAAAAGACTCAAAGAGAAGGATTGAAATAGTTTTCTTCCATGGTGTAATAAAGATATGAAATTCTCTGGCAGAAGTCACTGTTGAAACAGTCCATAAACTGCTTTAAACGACAGTGTAATGCTAGAAATTACAAGATGCATGACCAAGAAGATCAGTGAAAATGGATAAGATTCATGACATTAAGCACACGATGGGTTTGAAGGAACAAATGCAGTTTCCATACTGTAAAAGCGTTTGCCGCTAACTAAAATGCTGGCTTTGCCTACATTCCATGAAAGTATAAAGAAAAAAATGCAGTTAGGTACTTACTGGTACATTTGGTTCAGATGGCAAGATATCAGGAATTAGTGATGCACATTTAAATCGTGACTGAATTTTTACAGGACAATTTGAATTCTTATTTGATAGTGCCTTGACCTGAATTACACAAAATAAGAAAATCAAATTATTTTCTCATGATTAAAATCTTACTATACTAAAATTACTGCTCCACATATTAACAGGATGGTTAATATTATAAAATTACTTATTTTATGAGTGAAACAGAAGTACTTGCTATATAAAGTTGTTGGATAAATCTAGTATTTGTCCCATCCTGATTCTCCTCCAGAAATTCAGAACAATATTTCAGCGCAAGAAAAATTGTTAGTCATATATTACACTCTATTTCCTAATATACCTCAACATGGCTATGTTTTCAGAACAGCTCAGTAATACTTGAAGAGTTCAAACTATTTTGTTCAAATTGTCCATAAATGCAGCAAGGTTTCACATGTTAATCTGCAGAATATATAATACGTGATCATCTTATCTCCCAGCAAAACAATCATATAATACAAATATTGAAAGATGTCAGCCACAATTTTAAATCCTCCGGCTGCTACAAACAAGGTAAACGGACAGGGAAACAGTCAAATGGGAAACTTATTTTTCCCAAAAATATACTTTATTCATAAAAATTATAAAAAGTACAGTACCATTTCCACCTAAATCATAAGAATTTACAGTAATATTCAACTTGTCTCCATACAGTACGCATGTCTGACTGAATAGTTATAATCGTCAGAATGCTTACAATGTATATTTGACATAAGGGTACGATCAAAACAGCTCAGTTAGGAGACCATTCGACTGAAAATCTAGAGGCCCCTGATTCAATCCTGGGTTTCAGCAGTGATTAAATTTAAAGGTGATCGAGGGTAATGGGGAGAAGGCAGGAGAATGGGGTTGAGAAATATATGTCAGCCATGATCGAATGGTGTGGCAGACTCGATGAATTGAATGGCCTAATTCCACTTCTATGTCTTATGTTCTTATACAGCTCAAGAGCAAATCATTTAAAATCGAAACGTTGGGAAGTGCAACAGAAATAAACTTTTCTCAATGCACCATGTTGCACTCTGAGATGCCTCAGTACAATTTCAATATTTTTTGTATTCACAGTCTACATATTCCCTATCAGGCATATACCCCAAGGAGTCAATACAGTGTAAATCTGAAGGAACATAGCAGGTCAGGCAGCATCAGAGGAGAAGGAGAGTCAACGTTTCGGGCCTAAACCCTTCATCAGGACTCTATTAAGAAGGGTCTAGGCCCAAAACGTTGACTCTCCTGCTCCTCTGCTGCTGTCTGACCTGCTGTGCTCCTCCAGCTCCACATTGTATCGACTCTGACACCAGTATCTGCAGTTTTTGCTATCTGCAATATACCCAAGGAGTTCTGCAGTTTCCGGTCCTCCAGCACAGAATAGGCGAAAGACTTTACACAGTGAGCTTTCGGTCTCCACAGTGGCTGCCCCAAACTTCACCACCCCACAGCATGTAGTCCTGGACCTTGGAACGTGCCATTGTGCAACACTCAGTTCAGGGCAACTCTTTGGATTGGAAAACTAGCAAGTATCACACAGTCCAAGGAGTGTACTTAACCAAGTTGATGGTTCTTCTGAGGTGCAGCTGATGTTTATCTAGGTTTGCATCCCTGGGAACAGTCCCACAGAAAACATTTTAAGTCCTACGTCACAAAGATGCTCTCAAGACATAGCCACTCCTTCCTCAGTTCAATCTAACTATAATGCACATATAAATTGCAGGCTACAGGTACACCCAGCCCAAGCCTGGATAACCCCATTTAAAAACATAGATCAGTTTCAGATTGCATCAGAAGAAGCCAATCTACTATTTTAAGCAAAAGCCCAATTAGGGAAGCAGCGATGGCTTCCCTGCCAGGCCCAATTTGTCCTTTCTCATCTTGGAGGAGCCAGAGTTAATTCTGCATACTTTAGGGAGATTTTGTTGTCAACCAGTGCACCTCTCTTGTGAAACAAGTGACATAGAGTTACATCAACAATGTAAGAGAAAATCAAGTACAAATCTTGAAATGTAAACCTGTACAACGCAGCAGATAAAATAAGGACTTTGCCACATCTATTTAGTTCAACAGTTTTCAGTTCCTGAAAAAATTTCAGTAATTTACTTAAATGTTTTCCTCCTTGACAGCTCAGCGGCTTAAAACAATAAGCAGCTGAACTGTAAAGACCAGGATGTCTCCAGCTTGTTCCTCAGTTTGTGGTGAATTAGACAATATCAGTTAGGCTGGTGATCAAGATGTTGATATTGGCTTCAGTCTGGTTTGGTTGAAGAATGGGCAAAGTAAGCACCTTGGGCTTCTGCTCCTCATGGCAAAACAATAGAAATTTAACTAGAATACACATTTACTTTCTGAAAATTCATTACTTTCAAATTCTTACTTGCCAAGTACCTTGTGGAGGCTGCTCAGCTCCTTATGCCTTTTCGTTACAAAGTTTATTATGTCACAGGATAACTGCATCTTTCTTTCTGCAAACCCATAGTGTAGAAACTGATCCTTTAACAGTAATGGTTTGTAGTGGAACTGGTCACGTAGAAGCTACAAAAAAAAACAACAGAATGTAAGCATTATACATTGAAATAAAATTATTAACCAGTTCACTATTTTAAAGAGAGAACAGGTGTTTAAATTAGAATTTTAGGACTTCATTCAGCTATATTTCTGCACGTTAAAGAAACAAATTTAAAATCTTAGAGATAGTAAGAACTTCCGATGCTGGAGTCAGAGATAACACAGTGTGGAGCTGGATGAACACAGCAGGCCAGGCAGCATCAGAGGAGCAGGAAAGTTGACGTTGCGAGTCGGGACCCTTCTTCAGAAAAAAATTTTAAATCTTTGTAGTTTAAATTTGTTATTCAAGTATTTGAAAGAAAAAAACCAGCATTAAAACATGAAAATGCATACGAAAGCAGAACAGACGGCAAATCTAAAACTAAATGTAAGTAATGGTTCCAGATTAAATATTTATTGTCTTTGGCACATATTGTTTATCATTAGATTTTATATTTTACAAACATGCATTTGGGACGTACATGAGAAACTTACCAGAACAAAGGCTCTTCTATTTTTTAAACGTGTTATATATTAAACATCCATTCTGACAAAAACAGATTAGTTTCTGGGAATATGTATCAAAACAGTGAAGCCTTATTTTATTCTGCAAACATTAGGTATATTTTGCAAAATAGTTCAAATGATCTGACACCAAAGAAATTTACCTTTAGATTGAAAAATTATATGCAGTTTTATCATAGTAGACTGTTGAATCGGTTACTGTGGTAATGACATCAACATTTTGTTTTTATTTAGCAATACTCAAAAGTAATAAGCCTTTACAATAAATATAAGCTATTATACAGGTTGATTTAGATTTATTTAAGAGAAAGACCACAAATGAAAGATAATAAATGCAAATGAAATACGCTAACTAAATCTATAATAAAACAAAATACGGTGCTTCTTGACTTACGTACTATAAATATTGGATTCTGTACAGCTCAGTGGTGCATGCTTTCAACTACCATCTAAAGCTTATAATTCATGCTTGAACTGAAGCTACTGAACTCAAAAAGACAGACCTCAATGGAAGATTATGTTCACATTGCCATGGAGCCTTTTATCACAATTTATTAAGGACCATTTGGAGATAGAGAAAATGTAATATATGTTGATTGAAAGTAAATTTAAAATCATAAAAAAAACTAAGAAGTAGATACAAACAAAATGCTGTTCAACGTGCTTATGATGGAGAAAAGCAAGATATGAAAATATGTTCTGGAGGATAAATAAAAATGTGGAGGAAGAAATATATAAAGTTATGGATACAGATGAATCCATTCTAACCTTGGGTTGCAATCAAAATAAAGCTGTTTCTTCAACCAGTAGAAACGTTTTTTCTCAATTGTTACAATCTAAACCTCTCAGAATTTTGAAATCTTATGTTAGATTCGCCATTGTAAGCTCCTCTTACTGTGTAAAACAGCCAAAAGGTTGTACAAAAACAAAGTTGCTGGAAAAGCTCAGCAGGTCTGGCAGC